AGTTCAGAAAATATATATATTTTAAACCCAATACTTGAAGCTCCTTTTGCTGCTCAAGGTAGTCACAGTAAAATATGCTAACTATATTTTCAATGTAAATTGCCAGTGATGGCAGAATGGTGAAAAGTTGTTTAGCACATTGGTCAAAAGATGGATAACTGTTCACTTTTTAAACTTCGAGTCTGTTGACCAGAAGAAATTAGAGGTAGCTGAGTCGAGCTGATAATGTTAGCATTTCTCAGCCTTCTGTTCATTTGAAAGCATTTTTAACCCTTTTCCAAGAACTTTTGTACTGAGTTGCTCACAAGCAAAGCATGTTGAAAGCATGTGTACTTCCATGCACGTTAGTGTTGGTTAAGTCGCATATCACTTTGAAATACTCTTTGGATTGGGAAACATTTCATAGGGTGCAGATACTGCCATGCCTGGTCACCACGTTCACTGCTAGCAGAAAGTGCAGCTTGTAATCTCTCTAGGTTGAAGTACGGTTTCATGAACTTCTGGACTAATTGCAGACTGTGAATGAATGAGGGCGTGCTAAAGTCTTCAGAGTTAATGGAAGAAAATGAAAACTATAACTGTTTAGAATATGTTTTTCTCCTGCATGTGCTCGTATTTTCAGTTTTTATCATTTTTTTTTTGTTTTTTTAATGGTAGTCTAGCTTTGCTCTGGTTGACCACTCTCTGCATTTGAAAATAGCCTTATGGTAATTGACAGGTGTGCTGGCAAATCCAGTGGGATCGAGGTGGAATGGGTGTGGGTATGTGCTGGCAAAGCCCAGGGCAGCACTGCCACGGGGAGGCTAGCAGCTCAGGGTCTGTGGGGTGGTATCACACTGAAAATGGGGGATTTCAGTCTGCACAGCTCTTGGGGTGGCCTTCCTCCCAGGAGTTTCAAAAGAAGATACTGGGGAGTGATTAATAAGGCTGAAAAGTGAGCACTTTCCCCTGCCAAATTAAATTGGCTGTACCCGGGACGTGTTGATGATCTCAGTCGCACACTGGTGAGATAGTAGAGGATGCTTCTGGCCAGCATCCCAGGCTCGTGGAGCAATTGCCAAAGAGGTCGCTCCTGCTCTGACCTCTCTGTCTCTTCTGAAGTCCCGTCACAGCTGATTTCTCACTACAGACATCTTTTACGTTACAGAGCTTATGCTTCAGAGCTGATGCTAAATTGTTCATAACAGAGAAGAGGACGTGTGTAATTTTTTATGTGTGTAGCTAATTCATCCAGATTCACATTTAGCTGTAATTAAATACATTTTATACATCAGGTATAATTAATATTCTAGGACATCCAAAAGACAGTGCTTAAATACCTAAATTTTGTTAATGGATTCAGTATATGAGCCTGTTTTGTAAGCACGGGACTACATAATTGGTCAGGGATTACCCTAGATCTTTCATTAGTGATCTAACGTACCACCCAGGCTAAACCACCTATTTATCTGGAGGGCAATTGATTATAAACACAGATTTAACTAACAAATCAATCATAATAGCTGAGATTATACTGCCAATCCTCTTTTAGTGGATTTTTATCAATGAGTACCTAAACTTAGCTTTTTAATGTCTTCTGTATATTTGTTGATGCTTGATAAAATTTGGGTAGGAAACTAACGTGTTTAAAAAAATAGTGGAAACGCAGTGTTTTGAGGTAATTTCAGAAATTAGTTATTTATCTGATTTACCAACATTCCTTTGTTTCACAAATAAATATGTAAATTGAGATTAAGGGCCTGTTCTGTAACCACAGATAAAATCATCTCTAATGAGCATGTGGTTTTGGTCTTGTCACAACACTCCTTGCTCCTTCCTGTAGGACATAATCCAAAATCTATTCATAAGAGAGAAAGAATCTCCATTGACTTCAGTGGGCATCGGATCATCAAAGTCAACATTGCTGTACGTGCAGGAAACAGGCAGGAGTCAGGATTGGACCTTTTTGAGAACGTCTGGTCCTCTCTGACCATCTGGGAAATATTTGTGTTTGACAGTGAAACTCAACGCGCTGTATTTCCTGTATTATTTTTCCAGAGATACACGCTAAAAGAAATAGCCAAGCCTTGTAAAATAAGCAAAGCTAAGATTTACAGGGCCAGGTTCTCATACTTTCATGTGCTCTTGACATGATCCTGATTTGTTCCCTGTTTAGAGATCTATAAAATCCGTTCTCGTGGTGTGAGGGGAATGTAATCTGAACACAGGGGATGAGAGGCTGGCGCAGAGCGCATCTCGTGGGATGTACACAGTATCGCCTGGGAGGTGCTGAGGGTGTTGCTTATGAATGACCAAATTCTGAATGTTTATGGCCTCCGTGTCATGCCAGAGAAACTCTTTTTTCCTCAGGCTGCAGCCTTGCAACCACAAGCAGCAGGCACACTCACCCATCTGAAATCTTTGGCCAGCGGGCTGTGCTCATGCCTGTTGGTACATCTGGGTCACCTTCCCATACAGCCACGTGTGGGCTGCATTTGGCGACCCTTAAATCTCCCACTAGCCCCTGAGCACGTGTAATGCTCATTCCCTGCGTGTGATTTAGTCTGTACCGCTTTTAAAATAAAGCAGCTTCGTACCTGCTAGGTGCAGAGCAGCTCTCTGTACTCCGTGTCACGTTGTGGAATGTCCGTGTTCTGCATTATGCTGGGTAAGCACGTGCCCCATGACTAATTTATACCATTATTAATGGGTTACATTTTTCTTCCAACGGCTTCCCGGTGCCTTTGTAGATTGCTCTGCCCCACAACATCAGTGACTGAATGGAAAACAGGACCAGAATGTCTTTGTATTGGAAATACGGGGCTACCTGTATAGCGGTAGGTAGTTGTGTTTAAGAATCCAGAGCTGGACAATCTCATCTTTGATTTTCTTCTCCATGTAGCACAAAATTTGAAGTCTTCTGCTATTTAGAACCAGAGATACCTTTTATTGTGTTAGGCTCAGCAGTCAGACCAGTGTTTGCATGTGACTGCTCTTTATGACACCCTGGAAACGATTGGAAGCAGCAAAATTGTGAATATTCTTCAAAAATGCAAGTTTAATTTTCAGTCTTTCTAGTATATGTCCTCAGCTGATGGCTCAGGTGTTTCTACCATTGAATCTACGCTGGGATTTGTCTGAGCATGAGCAACGGAGTGCATCGTTTGGATGCATGCAGGGAAAGACCACAGAAATGTAAAACAGCTCTTGGGTTGCAAGTAGAAGGTAGATTGTTAAAGGCATAGGCTTGTCACCTATTACCTTTGTCCTTTTCTCCATTCATTTAACCAATGGACACTCAATTTTATTGCCTATAAACCTCTTATTTTAATACATGCGTTTAGCAGCTGTCTGAGGGTTTAGTGAGAAATGTAGATTATGTCAGATTAGAGGGTAGCTGGGGAGTGGAAAAACAGTTTTTATACACTGCTCTCATTCTGTGTTATATTCAAGAATTTGATGTCAGTCACCTCCCATTTTCTCAAAATAACCCCTTATCAGTGCAGTACTTGTGAGGTGCGTTTAGTAAACACTGATATTCTTTGGACTACTGTTGTTTTCTGTTTTCTACTGTCTGCTTGGTCAGCTGTACCCTCTGACACCAGCATTACAGGAAAAAAAAACGCTCTTCTAGAAGTGAAATCAAGAGTTTTTACTCTTCATCTCTCTCTTCCCCCCCCCCCCCCCGTCAGTATCAGAGGTGAACAGGAAGATGATATTTCATGAAAATAAGGTCTCTAAAGATTTCAGAATTTTTCACAAATACTCATCTGTAACTGGTAGTAGATTCATAACCCCAGGTGGATGATTCATGGCTTGGGGATGTGTGCACACCTTGAGATAATGTTAGTTAGATAGTTTTTATGGATATGTTGAGATTATTATGATCATCCTCGTAGCACATTTGATAAATGAACGTAATTACAAATACAATAGCAATTGATGTGATCACAGTGTTTACCAAGTGTGGTTCATTTTTTGTATTGATTGGAACATTCAGAGGAGATACGGAAGCATTTGCTGAGATCTCCAAACAAAAGCCACGGCGGCAGAGGAGGTCAGGGCGGCTGTGCCACTTCATTCACACTGCAGAGTCTGCAGTTCCTCTCCGTTCAACTTTTTGAGAGAGTGAAAGTGTTCATTTTGGTGTCTTTGCTCTGTAGTTTCATTTCCAGAAATTTTACATTCAGTTAACTTGCCCTTTTTGTTCCTGGAAGGCAAATGACAAAACGGGTGGACTCTGCCTTACTGCAAACACCAGCCTTGCTCCTCCTCAACTTAAGGGTGAGAAGGGTCATTTTGGGGAATCACATCAAAAAATTAGTTTAAAATTGAATAAGAAAAAAAAACAAACACCATGTTTTAGTTAGATTGTTGCTAATTAATACATACAGTAATATGTTTTGGAGAGACCTTATTTTTATTTTTATTTATTTTTTAGCTCAGGCTAGTTAAGATAGTTTTGGATGTCTGCAATTATGGGATACATTCATGTATGTAACAGTGGAGATCAGTACTCATTCTCCTGTTGGGGTACATGCTCCTCTTGTGAACTGGCACATGAAAAGCTGTGGAGAAAAGAGATCAAGGTTAGAATTATTCAAAAGGAAGGAGACAGCACTGCATCAGTCACAAAAATACTGAACTAGAGCAGAGATCATCTGTAAAATTGTACCTGGTGAGATTTATATTGGAGCTTGAGTAGCCCTAAATGAAAGAAACAAATTTCTGAGTATTTCAAGGCAGAGTAGGTCCATCCTACTGCTGGAATCCTCCTTCTATTGTGAAAACGAGACAGAAACTTCTTGCTGCTGTGGCAGGCTGTGAGTTTTGAGAAGCCTGACCAGTTCTGGAGTGTCTCCAAGGTGTTGATCGGTTCATCAGTGCCTTCAGCTGGGGACTCCCCAGCTGCTGCCTTCAGACGGGCAGAGTACTGCCGTGCTCCAGCTGGCCTCTGTGTGGTCTCTGCAGAAAAGGCTCAACTCTGTCCTGCTCCTGAGATCAAAAGGGCTGTGGTACAGTTTGGCATGGCTTTGGGTCAGTTAGAAAGTAATGGGATGGGATTGGAATACCTTACTCTACCACTGCTCAGGACTTGTCCTGACCTCCTGCTGGTTTGGGAGTCTGTGTTCCAGAAGCAACCTCTGATGTTGTCCATCTCCCTGTTCCCAAAGATATCCTGCAAAGGAAATTGCTTTTTTGTTTGTGTATGTGTAAATCTCCCTTGAATTTTGAGGTAGCAGTGGGATGAACAGTCCTGTCCAGGTGCTTGTTGAGAGAGGAATTCTTTAATTCTCCCGGTTCTCTCTGACTTCCCATCTTGAAGAAGGATGCTTGGCAGCACGCTTCCAGATCCCAGCTGAGACCTCACACCCTTGTCACGTCAGAAAAAGTCCATCTAGTGAATCATTGATCTGGGCTGAAATGTGAGTACTTTGTACCTTACATTGTTTGGCTCAAAATGTTTGAAAGACATTTAAATTAAATTAATTTAAATAAGCGGCATTGAACGTTCAGTGTTGCAGCAGGTGGTTGTAAATTTCTTTAGAAGTCATTACAGTAACTCGGTCTTTGTACGTGCTGCCACGGATGGGAATGCTGATGGCACAGCTAGAGCTGTCCTGGGAGAGGCTGGCGGTTGCCACTGAGGTGTGTCTTACTCAGACCCAAGGCAGAAAAACTGGATGAGGCAGTTCTTGGGTTGCTTGATTTTTTTATTTTATTTTTTTCTTCCTGTATTTACAGAATTCTTGGCTTCAGCAGCCTCTGGACAAACAGGGAAGTGTCTATGCTAACTTCAGCTCTTAGCGATATGCTCACATCTCCCAGTCCTGTGGTTTTCCCAAATACTTTTTCTCGTTAGAGAGGAAGAGATGCTTGGAAAACTTCAGCAGGTTAGAAAGGAAAGAAGCAGTCACTCCCAGCAGCAGCCTGGCAAGGCTACACAAAGGAGCAGTCTCAAAGCAGCAATCTTGAAATGTTTCAACCAACACATGATTATCAAGTAGCTCTTTGCAGCCTTCAGGAGAAAATGTTTCTCCCCATTAGAGGCGTGTGTCTCCCTCTTAGACCATTGTTTGATTGCCCATTACGAACACAATGTGATCGCCAAGTCTCTGCGCATTTACCTGTTGTACCATTATGTTTTCCCTGCCAAGTTTCCCCTGTTCTGTTTAAGTAAGATTTATCAGTTTGATAAAGTAGTTGTACAAGTGCTATTGCAGGAGGAAGAAAATCTTACTCCACGTAGCCTTGACTTCTCCTTTTTATCCCATTTTGATGCAATCAGCTCCTCATAAACTGATACCCTCCGTGAATGTAAATTTCATTAAAGCCCTCTTGGTTCCTTGCCCACTTCTCCACTATGAATCCGATTGCTGTTATTATTTCTGCCTGTGTCACTTTTATTTTCTCTTACCTTTTTCCCCTCGGTTTTATGTAAATAATGTTTGGATAATGGAGTGAAATGGTTTCCATGGTGCTGAACAAATACAGGTCACAGTGTGTGGGACTTCTCTGCACCTGAACATAAAGGTGAACATGTATATAATTTTTAATTATTTGGTTTCTTACAACTAAGAAAGAAGTTTTGTATATCTTGTAACATCATTTTTGTTGAAGAGAAAAATTAGTTCATTATGAATTCTGCAAAAATAGTTTTGCCTTTCAAATGGTAATTTTTTCACTGTATTCATATCCTTTTTTCTTTTTTTTTCTTTTTCTTTTTTTTTTTTTTCCTTTTAAAATGACACTATCATGCATTACACCATCTGATTAAAAAATTTGCTGGAATAATATTTGCACTGAACATCTGTCATTGGCAGCTGTAAATATGTTCTGTATTTATCTACAAGAAATCGAGTTAAGAGCCCCTTACAGCCAGCAGAACTTTTGTTGAGCAGTACGAGGGGTCTGATTGCGTGGTTCTCAAGCATTTTCTTTAGATGCAGATGTCCTCAGATGGGTTAAGCGTATGGACCATTAACTTTGAAGCCAAACTGACATTATATGGGCTTTTTTTAAACTGCTCCACAACACTTACTGTCACGGAGAACAGTTGCAAACTCAACTTTTGCAGCAGAATTGGGGTTTGATTGCAGAGGGTCAGCAATCCCTGCAGGGCAGGCCTGGGGAACGTCACAGGCTGTAGCACCTGCGAGCACCAGGGCCCCGGAGGGCTGGGCGGACGCTGCTGTGGCGTGCCAAGCACCACAGCACTGCACCTTTACTGCCACAGTCACACGGGGAGCATGAGAGCAAAGAGTTTTCCTGGGGTTACTGTCACGCATGCATTTTTTGTGCTGGGTCTGAATAGTGGCCTGAGCAAAATCAGCAGATGATGTGTTGTGAGAAGAGAAATAGATATTAATGTCCTAGTCCGTGCTGCATGCACCTCTCCATAGGTTTTGTATGGCTTTCTTACCCACTGCAAACAGTGAAAGAGGATTTCATTGATCCTCAGTGAAAGAGGATGATACAATGGATTTTGTGATCTTTATCTTATTGTCTGAGTTGCTATCTAAATAGAATTTACATTGTCTAACCCTACGTAGATCCTGTCTTCCCCCATAAACTCTAGAGAGAAGTTCAATGGGTTCTGTGCTTCTTTGCCAAGAGCCAAAGTCACTGCAGCTGTGACTTACAAGCTTCTGGAAGCCACTCGTGTAGGCAACAGGCATGATCCTGATTCTTACCTTCAATCCATATATTCCTCACATAACATGGTAATGCAGCATCACATTGACCAGGTGGTGCTGATGAATCCTAAAAGGAAGGTGTAAGAACCTGCTTTTTAAAAATCAGAAGTAGTTGTTTTGTTATTCATAAAACTTGCTTCTTTGTTTTATGTTGGATCTCGGAGCAATGGACTTTAAATACAAAAATTTGCAGCAAATGAATACCTTGACTAGCAGATGAAAATACATTCTCATCAAGATATTATAGGAAATCTTTCAGAAACAAAGTAGCGCCTCCTTCTCTGAACCTCATCCTGGGATGTGTTTCAATAAAAAAAAAAAAAAAATCCAGAAGGAAGGTTCCTTAATTGAAAATTCCCTGCCAAAATGTTTAAGGCATTTACACCCAGACCAAGTTCCACCTGCTAGGGATACACAAGCCATTCTGAAGTTGTAGGATAGCTATCGGTGACTAGAAACAACACCATGTGACTTAAACAACTAATCAGACAGAAAAATAAATGCTCAAGCCAACAGGCTCAAGAATAGTCTGAGGGCAATCTTTAGTTATCCTTGTTATTGTAAATGAGTCGTTGAATAAATCAAAGTAACTTATAAATGAATATAATAAATGAGTATCAACAGAAGTTTATATAGGGATAATTCATAAGCAGAAGAGGGTGGTACATTTGTCAAAAAAATGTTCAGTGCACGTAATTCATCTATTACTCTAATCATCACCTTGAATTGGTCCTGGTGATGAATAAGGAGTTAGTACGGCCTCTACCCTGATACCAAGGTACGTTGTCCTCAGCTGCTGGCCTTCAATGATCCCATTGCCACCTTCTGCACCAGATGGAGAGTGAGTGAGCTCTTGGCATAGCCTCCTGCTGTAGCCCCTGCAGTAGCTGGTCTGAAGGTGACGGAGGGATGAGTGACTGCTGCGAGGACCTGATCTGAGCTGTGCAGTGGTGTGATAGACCCAGGATGGGAGGTACGCAGAGCACTGCAGAGCCCTCATTGTCCTTCCTCCTGCCACTCTCTGCCTGGAAGTCTGTTTTTTAAGAAGTCCAGTGAGCACAGTGCTTTGGGTCTGCTTCCACCCTGCTGTCAGGTGGCCCCTCAGCAAGTTCCATTTTTGCCCCACAATAGGTAACAAAATGCCATTAAAGGAGGGCCTGCAGCTAAGGTGTGAAGTGTAGGGAAGGAGCTAAAAGATTTGCTTCTGACTTCTCAGTGGTCACCTCAAAGTTGTTTAAGCTCTGAAGTTATTTTATTTGAATTTTCCCTTCACCACTTTGAAGGGCAGTGTTTGTAGCTGCTCGTGTGCTGCAGTGGGTGCTCTAGAACATCGCTACGAAGTACGCGAATGCGGCTGAACCCCTGCCACACAATAAATACTGCTCTGCAGAGCAGGAGAGTTCTCCAAGGACATCGTTGCTTGGTTCGATGGACACCCCACTTCCATACCTTCTGGAAGCCACATCGTCTGCCTGCATTTTAGCTTCCTCAGGGTTTTTTGTGCAGAAGCCAAAACTTTGGACAATGGAGATTTGCCTCAGAGCTGTTACGAGTAAAAGATGCATCACTAATGCATTGTGCCACGGGACCAAATGAGAACTTAGTCTCATTACAATGTTGCTCAAGGAAGAGGATTGTAGATGTTCCCCACTCTGAATGAACACAGTTTGTCTGGGTAAATTACAGCAGGGTTATGCTGATCCCACTGTGTGCAGGATGGGCCAGAATTCAGGTATTTAACATGCACCTTATCTAATACAGTAAATGTGAGAGGCTGTGTCAGGCGCAGACACTAAAGCAAGCCTCTGGCTTTTGTGGTCTCATAGATAAGAAAATAGATGTTGTACAATGTTTTGTTTTGGAAGTGCTCTGTGTAAAAGAAGAAAGCACAGGAAACTGGTGGTTTTGGCAAAAGCACTTATGTCATATGCACCTTAAACTGCGAGAGGTGATCACTGTCAAGAGTTGCTGTGGTGTGGGACAGGCTTTCTCCATCATTTTACCCTGATTATGTGATGAGTTTAAAAGAAAAAGGGGTTTGTAAAGGAGGTGCAGAATATGCACTTGCACCAAAGTGGACTTGAATTCAGATCCTGCAGCTTTCAGATCCTATAGATCTACAATTAGTTCTTCAATTACAAAGCAAGTGGTGTGCAATTAGAAGTCCCTTTTGCTGCAACATTGAGGGTATCAGTGTAAATATTCCGCCTATGTACATAATCTCCTGTATCTCTTAGGATATTTTAAAGGGATTAGGTACTATATAATTTTTCTCTTTTAACACTGTGTTTAGAATAATGTTGTAGTTCATCAGTTTAAAACAAAACCAATAATATGGGATTAACGTAGGTCACTAAATCAGACCTCCCATCTTTGTCCTTACTATTTAAAGGAACAACTGTTTGAGCTCTTTTTTCACTGTTGAATACAAACATCGTATTTTTGAAATCATGTCTAGATTATAAAATGAAGATAGTTATCTTTTATTTTTTTCCTGTGTCATGTTCCAGATTAAGGGTACCAGACTGATAACAACAGTCTTTAACAGATATTAATAAATATAATTTTCCCTGAAGTTTTGACATCAAAAAGTTTGTGAGGAGAATTATGGCACTTATTATCAGCAGTATGTTATGGGCTAAATTTAGTTACTGATGTTATAGGAAACTATGGGAAGTAGTTTTGGTTTAGATTGAGGCTGAATCAAAGAAACCCACCCTTCTCAGAAA